TAAGACATCTACAATTTTGAATTGTATATTAATTGCATGAAGATGAAATGGCAGTTAATCACTAAGAAAAAAAATTTGAAAATAACATAGAGCGTGTTAAGCATTTTATAAATCTACATTTTCGTTGAAGATGGATTAAAAGAAAAAAGAAAAACTCTTATTCGTGAAGTATTTTCAAACAAAAATAGATGTTTTATTCCAAGAATAAACACATATTCCTAACAGATGCTTCGCTTTGCAATGAGTAGTGATTGTTGATCCCTGAAAATGAGCCAACAGATGTCGGGCCCACTCATGACAAATCAAGTACGATTCCGGCGCGTTCCTACTGGAATAACGGTGGTAGCAAAGAGGAAATGAATGCGGGAGGTACTTTGCGGCAAGAGACAAGAATCTTTAAGCTCTGGTAGATAAAACAAAAGCAATTGCGCTAACAACGATTGCCAGGTTGAAATCAAATTAATCTATGGAATAACAAACGGGAATATGTGGAAGGATAGATGAAACAAGTATATAAATTATTATCTTGTATGTTGAGATTTACAACTCATAATCATATGAAGAAGATAGAAAATAAACTCAAATGTTTGAATATTTCATTCCGGCGTTCAAGTGTGTATCTCAAATATATATGATTGTCTATATTTCAATCAATAATGCAACCCTTTTAAGTTACAAAGAGAACCTATTTATACTATCTTGGTCGACGTGGTGACCGTTGGACCAGAACCACCTGGCCTCATCTCCCAAATTGAGACGTCACATCTCTGTCTATTCATGCATTTAATACATTGATAAGGGGTCAGCCGCTCTATATAATAGACTGATACACTGACAAACTTTATTACAAGAGTTACATCAATCACTTCTAGAAAATCCTCAAATTTATCACAAGAAATAGGGTCAGCCCATGAGCTTTAGGCAATTATGAGAGCCTCGGAAGAATCTTCGAGGTGGTCCTCTAAGTGGAGAGTTTCAGCTCCTTTCTTTGTTTCCTTAGGCAGTTTCATCTTTGAAGTAGTGCCTCAACTTGGACCTCATCCTTGCAGTGTAAGGACTTCAGTTTTGTTTGACTTCTTTGTATTTTGACCTCATGGGTTTTTGTTTGACCTACGTGGCTTGTTACATGTCACTTTTTCTTTGAGCCTCGGAGGCGAGGCATAACAATTGTCTCCCAAATCTAGACATGATTATTTGTGTAATGCATGGACTTGAATGTACAGTAAAAAATTTTGTTGGGGGGTGGGGGGGAGAGGTGTGGTTTTTACCATACCACAA